AAGGTCCCTCCCAACCCAAACCATTCCGTGATTCTATGCTGATCCCCCCTGTGAAGCCAGGCTGGCACACAGCAGGCAGGTCCTGCTCAGCATTAGTCCCTGCCCAAGGGGAATTCCTGGCTCATCTCCTGAACAATCCACGTGATTCCATCTCCTCCTGACCCGCTGACCCATGCATCAACCACTTGTCATCTTTTTCCTGTCATGTGCCTTAAAAAAGGCCGGGTGGGAGTGGCTGCGTGGGTGTGGGGTGACGGCCTTCCCTCCTGACACCCTCTGCTTGGGTTCTGCAGGACATCGTGACGGAGAGCAACCAGTTTGACTTGGTTGGCTTCATCCCACTGCTGCGTGAGAGGATTTACTCCAACAACCAGTATGCCCGCCAGTTCATCATATCCTGGGTAGGTACACACAGCCCTGCACACACCTGCCTGTCTGGACTCCAAAATATGGTGATCCATCAGCATTCCACATCTGGACAAAGAGCAGTTGTCCACAGTGATGTGTGAACTCAGAACCCATCTTGACTTGGCAGGTTTTTTAAGCCAGCAGCATTTTTCACCAACTTTGTCACCTCGCTGTTGCAGCTGCAGGGACATCGTGCTGCCCTTCTGCCAGCCTTGTTCAGGACTTTGCACACCAAGGGAGAAAATACAGTCAAAACATGGCTTGTATAAATAGATAGGCTGTGGTTTAGGGGTGACAGTCTCCCAAGGGACGGTGCCAGACTGTTCTCCACTGCCCAGAGATGATGAAGGATGTTGCTCTCCAGGAGGAGAGCATCTTTCTCCTTTCTGTGCAAGGCAGGAGCTCTCAGTGCCTGGCCAGGGTCTGGGGAGAGATGTGCTCCTCTGCACTCTCTCTTTCAGCCATCCCAGGTCTGCCTGCGTGCGTCTTGGCAGCCGTTCCTGACCCCTGCTCTGTTTTACAGAGCTGTGATGGGAAAGGTAGCCGTGCTGCAGGATGATGGTTTTCCTCCTGTGCTAGCCCAGCTGCTTTCTGAGATGAGCAATGCCGTGCTCTCCTCTTGTCCTTCCTCCTCTATCCCACACAGCTCAGCTCTGAATTCCTCAGTATCGTGCCAGATTTGTGCTGGTGACGTAAGTTAGCTTCTCCAAAAATCACCTCTCTTCTTTCTTATTCTTCCCCTGAGCTAGATCCTGGTCTTGGAGTCTGTGCCTGACATCAACCTCTTGGATTACCTACCAGAAATCCTGGATGGGCTCTTCCAGATCCTGGGAGACAACAGCAAAGAGATAAGGAAAATGTGAGTGTGGAGGCTGGCTGGGCACGAGGGCTGCGTCTTGTTCACCGTCTTCATTTCTTCATCCCTCTTCTGTATAACCCCATGTGCGTGGTGAGAGGTGAAGCAATCTGGTTGCCTTGGTCAGTGGATTAAAGTGTCCTTGGCAAGGGCCTCCCTTCCACAGCTTGTTGTGGCTGGAGTGGCTGTGGAGGACACTGGTCTGTTTGTGCTGTGGCACAAAGTGTCTTGGCTCCGTTCAGCCCTCGTGTCCGGTATTGGAGCTGTAGAGGCTTCCATGTGCTTCTGGGCTGGGGTGTGAGCTTCGTGTACAGGCTTTGCAGATTGTGAGCCTCTCAGCAAGGTGCAACACCAACCCAGCATCTCCTGGGTGCAGAAGAGGAGCGAGCAGGGTGAGCTCGCTCTTCAGATCCATTGCTGGTTTCCAGACGGAGAGGTATTTTGAGGTGGAGTGGCTGGGCGTTCTCAGGGACATCAGAGGATCTTGGCTCCTTGTGCTGGGATAGAGTAACTGGATCTGTTTTGTAGAGCACAAGTAAGTGGTGAGACTGGCCTGGGTCTATCCCGCTGCCAAGCCCTCCTGGATTCTCCATACTTCTTTGTTTTGCAGTGTCCACATGTGGAGAAACAAGCACTGAAATCTCTGGGTATCATCTGCCCTGCTGCTACCCTCTGTGCTCCCCATCCCAGGCTCACATCAATCTCAACAGAGCCCGTGTGCTCTTGGGGGACTTGTGGGAAGGTGTGGGAGGCTCTGGGCAGTCATCACCTCCATCCTCACAGCTGTGAGGAGCAGGACAAGCTTGTCAGCCTCATCCTTCCTGGCCCTGTCCCAGTGCAGAGGCACGCATGCCATGCCACCAGCATCCTCTCTATACATGGGCGTAGGAGGCTGGTCTCCATACCTTCCCTCTCCATACCTTCCCTCTCCATTCTCCATACCTTCCCTCTCCATACCTTCCCTCTCCATACCTTCCCTCTCCATACCTTCCCTCTCCATAGAAGACAACTGAGCACTAACCAGCTGCTCTGCCTCTCTGCAGGTGCGAGGTGGCTCTCGGGGAGTTCCTCAAGGAGATCAAGAAGAACCCCTCCAGTGTCAAGTTTGCAGAAATGGCCAATATCCTGGTGATCCACTGCCAGGCGGCGGGTGAGTGGGCAGGACCAAGCTGTAGCATCCATCACCAGGTCTCCAGTGGCAGACAGAGGTTTGGACCAAGAGTTTTCCAGGGGGCTGTTCACCAGCTTGTCTGCTTGCTCTTTCTTTGTCATTGTGCGTGCAGATCTCGCTGAAAGTGGGGGGCAGGAAGCTCTCCCTCGGGTGACACTACTGCTCTTGCACTGCAGATCCTCCAGCCTCAAATACAGATCTGGCAGCATCTTGAAGCAAAGGGGCCTGAAAGTAAAATATCTGGCTGTGGATTGTACCTGTGGATATCCAGCACTTCTAGAAGGATCTTCTTAGGGGCTTATCTCATCCTCTGGTGACACCAGGGGCATCGGCAGGATGGTTAAATGCAACATGCCAGATGCTTTTGTAGCTCCTGCGGGTTTGCTGTGCGTGTGGTGTCAGTGGGTTATGATGCTCATTGAGCTTCAACTGCTCTTTAAAAGCTGCTGAACAGGAGAGGGTTTCTTGTGAGACAGGAAAAGAGAAACAGACCAAGAGTGTTTATGTTGATTAAACCGCTGCCCAATGAATTTGTACTGTTTAAGCCTAAAATCTGGCCTTGTGTCGGCTGCCTGCCCTGGCAGCGCTCCCTTTTGCAGAACTTGGGGAGTTTAGTAAAGCCCCAGCTCTAGGAGTGATGTCTGATGAGTGATCAGGACATTTCCTCTGTCACACCTGCAGCAGACACAAAACTGCTGCAGGTGTGGCAGAGGAAATGTCCTGATGCATTGAGAAGCTTGACAGAAAACTTGTGAGGCAAACTGGATTATGGCTTGAAATGGGTTAACTCTGAAACCTAATGATTGTGTTTAATCTCAACCTTGCTGCAGATTCAGGTCTTACCCATCTCCTCTGGGACTAAACTGTCCCAGACCAGGGTCTTTCTGGACTAGTGACTCTGGTTGGAGCAGAGCCAGCTCTCTGCTTGCAGGTGGTCCTTTCCCTGTGGCGTTTGCTCAGCTGCCAGTGCTGGCCTTTCCCTCACATCTACTTGTCCCATGTTTTCCAGATGACCTGATCCAACTGACAGCCATGTGCTGGATGAGGGAGTTCATCCAGCTGGCTGGCCGGGTGATGCTGCCTTACTCCTCAGGGATCCTGACTGCTGTCCTGCCGTGTCTCTCCTACGACGATCGCAAGAAGAGTATCCTTATAACTCCAAGCTGCTCCCATACCCCCAGGGAAGCACCTGGTTCCTGTCCCTGGGGTGCAGGGCCAGCTGTATAGCTGGAGAGGACCAGGAGAAGTCCTCCAACCAAGTCCTGAAACCTGCACTGGTCCTTTGGATGTGACGGGGGTCGCAGTAGCTGGGCTGAGGTAGCCCTGGTGGGGCTGCGGTGGCTTCTCCGTGGCTGGCCAGATGTGGCACCTAACCATGTGTGGGACTGCGTGTTCCTTACAATGCCTCCACTCAGACATCAAGGAGGTGGCAAATGTGTGCAACCAGAGCCTGATGAAGCTGGTCATCCCAGAGGATGATGACATGGATGAGGCCAAGCAGTCGATGGCCCTACTGGCAGAGCCCACCTCGGAGGAGTCCCTCTCTAAGCCAGAGGCAGCGTCCAGCGGTGAGTCCCTGTTGGTCTGAACCATGAGAGGTGTGAGGAAGGTCAAGGGAAGGTCCTCAAGAGAAGTTCTTGAGTTAGTTTGGTGTCCTGGGGCAACTCAGGGCACGTGGGACCTTTGTGCTTTCTTTGGAGTCCTGTTTCATGGGTGATCCTCTGCTGAGACAGACGAGTTTGGTGCTGTCTGTGTAGCAGGGTCACTGACCCAGCCTGGAGCCTGAGCAGTGCTGTGTTCCCTGCTCACCACACTTCACTTCAACTTAATCATGAAGTTGACCTGAAAAAGATAATTTATAATTAAGCATTTAGTGTCTGCTGCGTAACATGGGAAGAGACTATCCCACCTGTCCTGCAGTGGCTGGTTTGGGAGAAGCTGCCAGCACCCAAAGGGGAGCTGTGTTAGTCCTGGAGAGCATCAACACCTGTGTGGAGGATGTCTGTGCTGGGGAAGGGTAGAGAACAGGGAGGAGAAGGACTTTGGGTCCTTTCCAGATTCATGGTGCTACTAAGACCATCATGCAGGTATTGTCCCAGTCCTAAAATTTCTGGCGCAGAGAAGGCAAAAGGTTGCAAATGTGATGGGAGGCCTGGAAGAGTGTTCGAGGGAGAGGAAACTAGATGGAGAGGGGCCTGATGGAGCAATGCCTGCAACCAGCAGTGGCTTCAGCCTCCCCGCATCCCTTTGGGGCTGTTGTCCCGGGATGACGAGATGCTGTTTCTGGCACATCTTTGTTGTCCAGGCACATGAAGTACGTGTAACATTTAAATTATGTGGGCTAATCCGTGTGATTCTTCTGGGGCTGCACCTTCACCCTGGGGCTCTTCTGCAACGTGTCCACCAGCGGCTTTTGGAAAATCCTGTCGGGAGAGGGAGCTGGGAGGTGGGAATTAAAAGGCTGAAGGGTTTTATTGTACAGCAGCAGCTGGGTCAGAGGGA